ATGTGTACATTTGAGGATTTGCAGACATTAGGCAGATCATTTATAAATAATGTGAATAGTAGGGGGCAGAGAATGGAACCTTGGGGGACACCACACGTGACTGGAGAGGGAGGGAGTCGCTGTCAGAAATGGACACATATTGTAAGCGATCCGATACATATGATCGAAACCAGGATAGCGGACAATCACCAATACCTGAATGTTTGAGTTTGTGCAGTAGAATGTCGTGGTCTACTGTGTCAAAGGCCTTAGCAATATCAAGGAAAATAGTTCCAGTTAGGTCTCCTGTTCCATGCCAGTTTGGATGTCATTGTAAACTTTTAAGAGGTCAGTTGTAGTGGAGTGGTTTGGGCGAAAACCCGATTGATCAGGGATCAGATAGTTAGATTGTTGGTAATACTCACATAGTTGTGTATGGACGCATTTTTCTAAGATATTTGACAAATATTGAGAGCATGATATTGGGCGATAGTTAGAAACCAAAGTATTGTCACCACTTTTATGAATAGCAGTCTTTCAAAGTTTGGGTATGTATCCAGACACCAAGGATTCATTAATTAGGGTTGTGACCAGTTTAGCAATTGCCGGCACACTGAGCTTCTACAGCATTCCCCAATGGAGAAGAACACTGCAGCCAAATAAGGTTGGACAGCAACAAAGGGATGATTTCCAGAATAACATTTTAAAACTTGATCCTCAAATAGACTTTGGGAGAACATTGAGAGGCTAGTGTGCATGCATGGCAAATCACCAATAAGCATCTTTTCACATAGATGCATTGAATCAATGCATCTCTATGGGTAGCATTCAGCACCTCCATGCAGAGTGCGGAGACACTGAACATCGGTCCTGCATACCTTCTATTGGCTGGCTAAGTGAAAATGCATATTTTACAATGTAGTGAGTGTCACATTTAGGTAGATCCAAGTTCAAATTTCTCTCTGTGATATCAGAGTCACAGCCTGAGTTCTGTCATCCAGATGGAATTTTAGATTTAGATGTCCCTAATTCCCCATTGCTGGTTAAAGAGATTAAGGAGAAATGATGCTTGGTAATACTCGGGGCCGTCTTTAACGCCGGGCAAACGGGGCAGCTTGCCCTCCGTTTGCCCTCTGCCCGCAAAAGTTTTTGATATCGCTGATCCTAAAATAAATTATTGCAGGGCACACACTAAGGGGGCCCATCTGGTGGTCCATGCACTTATGGCCACTCAGTTGGCATGTGTCACCAGGTGCCCGGTCGGGCAATGTGGCCCTTTAAAAGACCAACCCCTTGCTTTTTGGCTGCCTACTTCCTCCCAGAGAACACCGAGCTGCGTGTGAGGGAGGACCACCAGCTGTTCCATAGGAGGCAATGAGAAGCGGGTGAGGCCAGGAGAGAGCCAACTCCCAGGCACCCCAACCAGCACACAGGACCCCAGGGAAGTCACCCTCCACTAAAAGGTAAGAAACTGGAGGGTGGCTATCAAATTGCAAATTTTGCATGTGTGCCTGTGTGTGTGTGTCAGTATGTGTGTGTTTGTATGTGTGTTTCAATATGTCTGTGTGTGTCTGTGTATCTGTATTTGTCAGTTTGTTAATCTGTATGTTGTCAGTGTGTGTCAGTGTGTATCTGTATATAGTCAGTGTGTGTATCTGCCGTTGTTCGTATGGCCAAACACGTGGCGGCGGCCATCTTTAGCATGCGAACACGTACAGCAATATTTGGTAGTTGAGTGTATGGAACTATAATCAGACACTCAACGGCGTGGATACCGCTGAGACTTCCACTTCCACGTAGGTTCGGTTCCATTCGTTGAAGAAGAGCGGCGTTCGGTGAGATCTAACTCCCGAACAAGGGACACATAACCAGCTTATATACGAACAGTTATATTTGGTATTTTGTTATGTTTCGTACTCCAGAAAGAGACCGATGTTGGGCACTTAGATCAAGGCTATCCGGGGATATAGGACTTGAGGGGGTACCTAATTGTAAAGTGAGTATTTTTGGGGTGTTTTTGTTACGTATGTCCTGGACCTGAGCGTTAATATAATCATGGGTGTATTTTGTAGCAATCCCCTCCCAGGTCCAGTGGGTAAATGTCCCTGGAATATGTTACATTAGACTCCTTGCATGGGGACTGTAGCGGAGTAGTAGGGGTTAATCCACGATATCTCCGCTGGTAGTCAGGATAAGCAGGTAAAACACAGGTAGCGTAGTAACAATTCCTTCCTCCCAAGAACTAGACGGCACATAGCTTGGAGGTCAACTGAGGTTTTAATCACTGGTCACAGCATTTATACAATTCCCCATACACGGGGTTTCCAAAGTGCCCTTGCAAGGGTTTTACAACAGTGGACTACATGGGAAACGTAAGTTACAAGATAATTTCCCAGCATGCATTGTTACATTGGAGAGATGAGTGATAAGAATATACTGATAATCACTTGATCTCTCCATACAGCCCAAGTAAATTAAGCAAATTACCTTTCATTGAATAGCTGGGATCTGAGCGCACCATCTGGGGAAATACCGCTCAGATCCCTGCACATTCAGATGAACGCCATTCGAATGATCTGATTTCACGAACCACCATTGTAATTGTGAAATTCATTTAGAGTATTAATATGCCGAAATAATTATTGTCCCGAATGGTCTGGAAGTCCAGCGGTGTTTGGTGAGTCGAGTAGCCAATTTTAGTTCCAGGCACTCGACGACCAAACACCGCTGTGCTTTCGTGAACACAAGATGGCCGCCACCACGTGTTCGGTATACGAACGGCAGCCACACACGAAACCCATTAATCAACTGGCGATACATTGTTGCAGTAGTTAATGGGAGACACACGACCCCCGTTGTGTGGTCTCCCATTCTGTAGTTTGTTCGTTTCACGAACAGTGTTTGAAAATCACTGTTCGTGGAATTCCAAATGGAACGCGGCGGCGTTCGTATGCTGTAAGCACACGAATACTCTATACCCATACATATAATAAAAAGGGGAAAGCAACGAAAAATGCAACATTATACATACATACAATTCTTAAGTTGCTAGTTTGCCACAAGGACACAAATAAAAGGCTGTGTGTGGCTCCCAATAAACCAGTTGACTCCCAGAACTGTGTGTCGGCCAGTTACTGGGTGATTGGGATTATTCTGCTGAACTGCGCTTTCTTCATGCTTTACAGAACACCAGTGGAGATTTTGGTTTTATTGTTGCAGCTCCGCTACACTGTATATTTTTATGTAGTCAATGTGTGTATCTTTGTATCTGTATGTGTGTCAGTGTGTGTGTCTGCATGTGTGTCATTGTTTGTATCTGTGTATCTGCATGTGTGTCAGGTTGTGTATCTGTGTGTCTGAATATATCTGCATGCAGGGCCGGCGCTACCATAAGGTGGCCCAGGTGGCCGCCTTAGGGTGCACCGGCCCTGGGGGCGCAAAATCAGGCTGACTGGAAGGAGGGAAGCGCACTGCGCTCCCCTCCAGCCAGTTACTACTTGTAGCGTGGCCAAGCGCAGCCCAGATCGTTCCGCCTGCGAAGCCCAGCCTCCGCCCGCCCACCTCCTACCCTGCTGTCCATAGACATATATATTATGTCTATGCTGGTGTCTGCCGCAGGCTGTGTGGAGGGGGCGGGGATATGAATGACATCATATTCCTGCTCCCTGTTTACCACACAGCACAGCTGGCGCACAGTGATGAGGCTGGACTGCAGGACAGAACTCCACAGAGCCAGGCAGCATGCACCCCAGGGACACGATTTAACAGATGTAAGTATGTAATTTTGTATCCATGTTTGTATGTCTCTGTATCCATGTTTGTATGTCTCTGTATGCATGTATGTAACTGGATGTATGTTTGTCTCTGAATGTCTGTATATATGTCTCTGTATGCATGTATGTAACTGTATGCCTTTATGTCTCTGTATGTACGTATGTATGTGTCTGTGTGTCTCTGTATGCCTGTATGTCTTTGTATGCATGTTTCTGTATGTATGTATGCATGTGTCTGTATGACGGTATGCCTCTGTATGTATGTTTGTGTCTGTATGCCCGTATGTCTTTGTATGTATGTTTCTGTATGCCTATATGTCTCTGTATGCCTGTATATATGTATGTGTCTGTATGACGGTATGTCTCTGTATGCATGCATGTATCTGTATGTGTGTATGTCTTTGTATGCCTGTATGTATATATGTGTCTGCATGCATGCATGTCTCTGTATGTATGTTTCTTTATGCCTGTATATCACTGTATGTATGTGCCTGAATGTCTTTGCATGTATGTTTCTGTATGTATGTATGTGTCTGTATGACGGCATGCCTCTGTATGCATGTATGTCTTTATATGCTTGAATGTCTCTGTATGCATGTATGTCTCTGCTTGTATGTCTCTGACTGTATGTGTCTGTATGTCTCTGTATGATTATTTCTGTCTTTGTATGACAGTGTACCTGTACGACTTTGACTGTGTGACTGAAAAATTATGCCTGTGTGCATGTGGCTTGGGAGGAAAGACACACAGGTGAAGATGCATTTTTTTTTTTTAAGGAGGGTGGGGGGTGCCAAAATGCATATTTGCCTGTGTAACCAAAAATCCCTGCACCGGCCCTGTCTGCATGTGTGTCAGTGTGTGTGTGTATAACAGTGTGTGTCGCAGTGTATGTGTATATGTGCATATATCTCAGCATTCAAACGCCAATACTACATACAAACACACTCCTGCATTGAAACGTTAACACTACATCCAAACACACCTCTATATTAAAAAAAAAATTAAATATAAACACATTCCTGTATACACATAAATGCATGCTTGCATTCAAATGCCAACACCACATACAAACACACCACTACATTCACACAAACATACTCCATACAAAAAACATGCTTACATTCAAACACAAAAACGCTGCTCATTGCTAAATACGTCAACCCTGCAAACATGGAGGAATGGTAGAGCCCCAGCTGTCAAAGCATTATTGGAGTTGTATAACAGATGGGCACCTACCTTTTGGCCACCCTTGCGATATCTTGGCTCAAAAGAAGCCTTGCACAAGGGCCCTTTCTAGTTTAGTTCCGCCACTACGTTTCGGTGGAGGACGTGACTGCATGGCAGGGAGTGGTGGAGGCAGGAGGCCCAAGCAAATGCTTGCCCAGGGTCCAATCAATATTAAGGACAGCCCTGGCAATACTAATCACAGGCCTACCATTTAGGCCCAAGAGGCATTGTTATCTACTGCTGGTTCAGGTGGTCAGCTTAGTGTCTCTCATTCTATACATATATTGGTTCTTAAATGCAGTTATGCTCAAACTTTTGCATACCCTGGCAGAAATTGTGAAATTTTGGCATTGATTTTGAAAATATGACTGATCATGCAAAAACATTTATTTTATTGGAGGATAGTGATCATATGAAGCCATTTATTATTACATAGCTGTTGCTCATTTTAAACTCATAATGATAACAGAAATTACCCAAATTACGCTGATCAAAAGTTTACATACCCTTGAATGTTTGGCCTTGTTACAGACACACAAGGTGACACACACAGGATAAAATGGCAATTAAAGGTTAATTTGCCACATCTGTGGCTTTTTAAACTGAAAATAGTGTCTGTGTATAGTCACTGAGTATATTAGCTCTCACGTGGATTGACAGAGCAGGCTAGATACTGAGCCATGAGGAGCAGAAAAGAACTGTCAAAAGCATTGCATACCAAGGTAATGGAACTTTAAAAGATGGAAAAGGATATAAAAAGATATACAAAGCCTTGAAAATGCCAGTCAGTACTGTTCAATCACTTATTAAGAAGTGGACCATTCAGAATTCTCTTGATACCAAGCCAAGGTCAGGTAGACCAAGAAAGATTTCAGCCACATCTGCCAGAAGAATTGTTCGAGATACAAAGAAAAACCAACAGGTAGAATCAGGAGAAATACAGGCTGCTCTGGAAAAAAACGGTGTGGATGTTTCATGGAGCACAATTTAACTTGAATAAAAATGAGCTGCATGGTCAAGTTCGCAAAAAAGAAGCCTTTACTGCGCCAATGCCACAAAAGAGCCCATCACAGTCTCCTGACCTTAAAGCGGAACTGTCATGCCTAATCCCGTTTGTTTTTTTTAACCCTTCTCCCGCCTCCACTACATCCAATTGACCCCCTATTCACCCCTAAATGCCCCTAAGCCCCCCATATTACCTATGTATTATTCTTTATTATCTGCCCCGATCTATATTCAAGGCGCCGCCATCTTTGTGTGGGTAGAGGAAGTCCCTGTGGGACATGTCATCTGCCCACACTAGATAGACTGTGAGATTCCCGCACATGCCCAGTTAAACACCTGGACATGCGAACGGGAATTTCATCTATTCATTCATTCGTCAGACAGACGAATGAATGAATAGAAAAATCAGACGAACAAACTAAAACTGTGTATCAG